GTAAAGTGCGAAGAAGTGCAGTGCGTTTAAACAATCTCAAACTCAAATGTCGCTATTGAAGGCCACACCTCCAATCAGCTAGTCTGGCCCGGGTGACTCTTCCGTCAACATTGTTTGGAATTACATTGTTTGCTAGACAGTAGTTGGAAATGCGTAACGCACGTATCAACTACCCTAATCCCATGAGCTTTACTCATTTCAACTCGTCATCAAACACTGGTTTACGCACCATCTGACTGCGAACACCGGTGTGCTAGTGGCTGGGACAGGTGAGATAACATTCGAACGTGTCCGCTCGACCTCATTACGAGAATGTATACAACGCACGAGCTACATTTTTCGTCATTAGTGTATTATTACGGTTTCCCTATAGTTTGTCAACAACGGGGAAAATTGGATGCAGACAACCCTGGTTTATTGTTTTTCCTGGCTTTATTCAATCCACGTATGATTTAGCGATTAGTGCTGTTAAATTTTAGTATAAGTATCAACAGGAACATTTCGTTTCGAGTCGGCAGAACTCAGGGCTAGCAACTGGACATTGTGGATGCACGGGAAAGGTGCATCTTGCGTTGAGAACCACCGAGCTACAGGATATCACGTGCGACCCGCATCATTTTCATAGAATAAATTGATGATAGTGACACGTGCTAATGACCTCATGAGTGCACGCAGTTAGCAGTAGTACAATCGCTTTTCAATTAACCTTTGACACAAATGAATAGGAGTTGGACCATTTGACTCTGTCTCGGTACTTCACTCACACTCTCTGGTCTGAAGCCACGTACCGTGATTCTTCATGCTATGTAGATTTACTTCTTAACACTCACCAACCGTCTTTAACCGCCATGGTGATGACTCACGTGCACTTTGGCATGCAGTCTGTTCTCCCTCGCGTTTGTCAGCTGTATACCCGTCCGGGTTTAGATTCAGTACTGAATGTTCACTCCCAACTTCCGTTATCCCTTCCGTTCTCGCGTGTACTGCAGTCTGTCTCGCGTTTGTCAGCTGTATACCCGTCCGGGTTTAGATTCAGTACTGAATGTTCACTCCCAACTTCCGTTATCCCTTCCGTTCTCGCGTGTACATCTTTCACATGCCATCTGAATGACGGTGAATGGAAGCAGTCAAAGGCCGTTCAACTTCAACGTTTGGGCTGCTGATAGGGTTTTTTGCCCGTGTTTTGTCACCACATTGGTTGGTACGTTTGGTGTTATCTTGGTATATGCGCGAAATCACTGATTGATTTTCTTGTCAATTGGAACCCGTCATGTAGACAGAAGCTGAGTAAATATGGGCCGTCATTTTCCGATTGGCGGGAAACGTCACTGTGTCTCATTAGGCCTGAAAAATGAATCGTTAGATACATCGCAACAGAAACAGGATATTTCGCGATGGCTTGGACGTAGAAAAATTTAGTTCCAACCTTATGGGTTCGCCTTTCATCCTTACAGCGGTATGCCTGCTGAACACAGAGTTTCGGGGATTATCGATTTGATAATCAGGAGGCAGCGAAAATGATCCCAATTCGGACATACTTTTCCCGTGATGTATTGTGTATCGTTTGGAACCCAATCGTTATTGCCGCCCGAGTGCAACTTCAGAAGTTTCATGAAGTCTCTAAGGATGTCAGTGAAAATTAGTCACTGTTATCTCTACCACTTTTTCGCTTCGATGGACCCTTGTCTCCCAGAGTACTTCGCATGGTGAGCCATGTTTATTGGCTCAACAATACAACGTCTGCGTTAAGTCAAATGAGAGTGAGCACCATAGCTGTCAAAATGTACATTCCTAATTTTTGCGATTCCGATCGAAGCAGTAGTCCTGCATCTTCCAACGGTCTACTGTTTTATACGAGACTGTTCCTGCTACCTATCTGATCCGAAAACCGACCCTGCCGCATCCCAGAATGGCGCTGTTTAACTGAAGATGGTCTCGAGTTTATGGTTGTTTGAGAAAGTGAAATCACCTGCGTAATGTACCGCAATGAACCACATCTACGCAAGTTTGTACATCGCGCCACAAAACCTACAGGATTACTGGATTACTTGAATTAAGGACCATGGTTGTTTGACTGGGGAATTCTATCATTGTCAGGTGAAACCCTACGTCCAAATGTAATGCCTAATGGGTGCAACTTGTGTGCGGTTGTTCAAAAGACTGAACTGCCGTCGGGTTCAACAGCCGGACGTGCTTTGGTTGGTCGTTCAGACCCGTTGCCAATGCAGCGCCAAGAAGGCATTCAAATTTCCAAAATATTCTCGTGGCACACGTTTCAAATATGAAACTTTTACGTGTTTTTTTTACTTGCTCTGGATGCTCGATAAAGGAATAGACTCGTGGCACCGTTTCAAATATGAAACTTTTACGTGTTTTTTTACTTGCTCTGGATGCTCGATAAAGGAATAGAGGAGAATGTTGGTAAGTCAGATTGTTCAGTTATGGTGGAGCTGTTTTCTGAGGTGTCATAAAAGTTTCATCACCATTCGAGGTAACATTATTAGGGTATTGTTCTGAAGCAGAGCGTAACTGTCCGTCGTCGGTTGTACGTCGAGTAGTGAGTGATGTGCGAAGGGAGTGACCTTCGGTTGCATCGGTGAGTAATCTGCGTGATTGGATTTTTTACTCGTGTTCTTATTGGTCAACGTGGCTTTTGAATTTGACCTCTGATTTTTTACTCTTCGGCCTTTGCCGGACTATTTCAGACCGGTCAACCCTGTCATGTGACCGGTTTGTTTGATGGTTGGAGGTTATTCGATTGAATTCTTGATCTCACGCTCGTAATGCATAGATAGGGTCTTCTTTAACATGTTGGTTGCCTGAAGCCGCCGTAGATTGCCATGATTTCGGAACTTCCTTCATGTGCATGTCTGTTGGCTTAATAGTTGCGTAAGCATAGTCACATGTTCCGTATTGGAATGGTGGCCTTTCTGATATTCACCTACGGAAACCAAAGAACGCCCTGTTACAGCCACCTTGTGTTCTGGTTTATCCACTGCAGTACTGGTTCCATTCACTGTACTTGAGCTGTTTGTCTCCATCCCCAGTCCTTGAATTGCATTGGGGATGTTCTGAGGTCTCGCCTTCCGAAGCGTCCACTGCAGTACTGGTTTCATTCACTTTACTTGAGCTGTTTGTCTCCACCTCCAGTCCTTGAATTGCATTGGGATGTTCTGAGGTCTCGCCTTCCGAAGCATGAATTTGCACTCTGTAAGTGCAAGTCACGTGCCGGAGTTGTGTTATGGTATTCAGTTTATTTAAAGCGCTGATGCTTCAAATTCATCCTCAAAGATTAGAACGGTGTCTCCTGCGTACTTCAGGTTATCACCAACACCAACTTACACATCGGGGTTTTGAAAATTCTCCGGCATTCGTCTGGAGATGTGAACAAAATGGAGGACCCATTTTCGTAAGTAGGTTTTCAAAGAGCTCCTCATATACTCGCACGTCCGGAACTATGTGAACTGGATTATGTTCATGAACTTCTGTGACATCCTTTTGTTGAGCGGACTTGGTTGGATGTTGTGATCGATCAACAGAATCCAACGCACATTTGAAGTCGAGATCATTTGTACACATGGTGTTGCGCCAACCCCTTACGGAATGTGAAGATGTGGCCAGTGCAGCCTGTACCAGATTGAGATCTCTTTTGGTGCCCATTGGCCAAAGTTCTCAAATTCCATCTTAAAACGCGAGACTCAGACCAGTACCTTTTTTGAAAATGGGCTCACTCCAGTTGCCAGGAGTGATCTCTTTCTTCCAGTTGCGAGCAGCTGGAATTCGCAAAACAGACCAGGCCAGAGAGATGTCAGTAGTATGCCGGAACTGCAAAATTTTCATTTATTACACAAATCATTATGAAACGATTTGCTGATGCTCCTGAAAGTACCAGATATAGGATAGTTCCTAAAGGGTAAATGGCTTTTTTTTATGCTGGTTCACCTTATATAGCCGCATCTCTGTTTGTCTGGCATCTACTCGGCTAAATGTGTACTACCACATCACTAAGTGTTTACACTGATGTACGCGAGGGATGGACAACCAGAAGTATCAAAAATGTCTGCGTGTTTATTATCTGTTTGTATCTTCATGACTGGTTTGCTTTTCCTAGCTCTTGCGGAAATATGAGGAGGTGTGGTAAGATAAAGTTTAGCTGTACTACGCTTTCGGAGCATAGCTTCCGTGTCACCCGAACAAAGCACGAAGACCGAGACACTGTTAAGTTGTCCAAGCCTAGACAAAGGTGGCCGAGATGATGAGGCCTGGTTCGAACCACGGACTCTCCGGTCAGTTAATTTGCGCCTTAACCATTGAGCTTGCGCAAGTCCGAGTCTTTGATGAGCAATCGGGCATTATCAATGGAGTGAAAGGGTCGTATTTCGTTGAAAACACCGAAGGTCACTTCTATTCAGGCTTGGATTAGAATAAACATATTCATTTCCAGATGTTTTGTAAAAAGACAAAATTGTTGGCGTTTTTTTCCTTGGAGCAAAATGAACCAAAATCATCTTCAAATATGCACCGTGTTAGCCACGAAAAACTATGTTCTAGCATAAACTGAATTATATCCAGAGGTTCGAATGGTGGCTGGCAGTGAGGTGTTTAGTTTACCTCGTGAAACTGAATGGAAATGCGTACAAACGCGGTAATCACCCCCTAGTGTTTACTACCAACGTGTGGCTTGTATGGTCCTCATGATGACGACTATGATAATGGTGACGGTTACAATGACAACGACCCCGTTGTCTGGTGATGTTAATGCTGTTTCTGATGATGGTAATAAAAAGATATCGGGATAGTTTTAAAGAATGTTTAGTGTGGAAGACGACTCTGATCTACATCGGTTCCGTCAACCAGCTGAACTGAGCGAATGGTTGTCTGCATCAGAGAGGTTGACCAACTTCGTCTGGTTTGGCTATTTCCACTCGGGTTGAAAATCTTTCTCGTAACTTTGTTCAACCGAGGATCTCAATCCATTCGTTTCTTCGTTCGTATTTCAGGAGCGTCGCAAGGTTCGAACTGCACGCATTTTGGAACTGGCTTTATCAGAACAACGTGTACGCCTGGTCCGAGGGCGTAAATTCAACGAACAACGGTAATTTTTGCTTTCCTAACATTGGCTTTTTCGTTCGTATTCACGTTGTGAGTTTTTCCGTCTTGAGTTTCTCTGGAGGCTTCGAGGTTTTCTCCGGATCTGTTATAACTGAATCTGTCCTGGCTCATTCGGCAAGACCGGCTTATAAAGACAACCTGGTTACTCTAAGCCGTAACAACTGAGGCGCACAAAGCGTCATACCACGACCACGTCTGGTCTATTCCTGTCCACGAGCTGAAGCGATAACTTACCCAAACAACTTCGCATACAGATCTGTATTGCTAGTCTATGTTTTTCCACGGAACATAGGAAAAATTGTCCCTTGGTACGCACACCCCCATTCAGCCTGTGTAAGGCTTACTTTGGTGTTTCAGATATCGAATTCTCTCAGCAATGTTTCTTGAGTCTCGTAGGACGACAAACTGAAGCCCAACAAATGTGTAAACAGAAATGGTCTCCAAGTATTTGAATGACTAGTTAACTACTCACGTGATAGCCAGTAGATTCCTGTCGACGATTCTTAGTATCAAAAGGCGGCTTCATCAGTCTGATCGTTATCGATTCAGTCGAGTTGAAAATCACCTGTCGAACCCTTATCAACTGACTAGCTGGAATACGTCGATTCGTCACTGAATTTCACTGATATTTTGTATCGAGTGTATAAGTAAGAGTCACGTGATTGCTTGCTCATTTTATCCCCACTCGCGAGTCGCAAGTGTAGTGTGCACTTATACTTTGTTTTGAATAGTCACTTGTATGGTTTGTGGAGCACATGAGAACTAATCGATAGGTTGTCACCAAATTGTCGCGGACTGACAATCCACTCTTCTGGTTCGTTTACGTTCTCTTGTGATTCGCACCATCTCTCTCATTGGCTGTTTTTGATATTTGTTAACCTCTGGTCATGCGCAACTCATTTTCATGATATATCTCGACATTATATCTCGATATATCTCGAGGAGCATTCACTTTTATAACCTTTCTGGTTTGTGTAATCGTCTGTATCATAATTTATCTGCAGCTCATTGGATTTTTAGACGTGTGTGTATCAACGTTGTTGATGCGTTTTTACGGTGTCATCACGTGCACGTAAGAATTTTCGCTTGTATGCTGCTCAATTCGTGTGTTTGGAGTAGAACAAATGAGATTTGATATCTTCAGAAGGTACTGCGAACTCATGCCGAGTGTGAAGGAATTTCGTTGAAAAAACACACAACAAACTGCAACTTATTGGAACTCTTATAACTCATATATGAAATGTAACATTTGAACCATGGCAGGTTATCACAGACTCGGATAAAGGCTGAAAATGTGATCTTTTCAATGAGAACACTTGTACTAATTTCCACTCTACTAACAGAAGAATGACCTTCAGCGCCATTCGTAGTTTAGGAGACCTTCTTGCCTGTGGTGTTCACTGGTATTCCCGACTTCTAAAGGTTGCTGCAATACGAATAGTGAGAACCTTGAGATCGTTATGCCACAAGGTGGTGAGAGGCCTGCCAACGCATCGTTGACTGTTGGACTTAATTCGCAAACTGCACACAGAATGCACTCTGCGTGATTATCATTTGGGGTTCCACGCTTGGTCGATTGTCTCTAGACGTAGTTGAATGAAATTCCGCATTTACACGTCAGTCGTGCTGAGGCATTTTCAGCTGGTCACCTTGATTCGGAGGTGGTTTCAAATATCCTAAAGATAGAAAGTCCGCCTTGGTTCCTATTGACAGATTTTTTACCAGTAAAAGTAAAACTTCAATTACACAGCTAACAAGCGTGAACATCTTCGTAGAAACCAGTTGTAGTAGTACATTGATCACAGCTACGTGCTCCAAGGTATGATATAGAGCAATCAGTGTTGACACAGCTTTATCAGATGTGTTGGACGATTACGTAAGGGTCAAGGTTACCCAGACACCAACCAATCAAGGAGAAGGTTGATTAACGAGCTAATAGGACTACCCCCTCATCATCGGTAAGCCGGCGTCGGCCTGGATGGGTGGCTGCAATGTGGACACATGTACACACAGCATCAACACACTTCCATACACAACAATCCGGACTGGTAGTGGTTCTAACCAAAGTCCGGACTGGTGTGGAACGGTTCTAACCAAAGTTCTCAGCTCAGTCCAACGAACAAGCTCAAAGACCATTACAAACAACATATGTTCATGAATAAAAAGACAGTGGGAACATCTATTCCAAAAGTCGTGTAACAATTCCAAACGAACTGAGTCATGGTTTGTACACCAAAGTCTCTAAAAGCTTCACAGTTCGGTTAAAATAGCTCAACAAGGGTCAACAACTTTTTACGACTGGACAACATTCGGTTGGACTTCCTCTTCCTACTTATATTGGAGGTACCACCTTGGAACTGCCTAAATTAATTGCACAATCGAGCAATCGAGTGGCAACTATTTTCCGAGGTAAATCTAATGGTCTGAAATTGTCAAGCAAGATTGCATTGGTTTCTATCAGTAGCGTGTAATGCTTTCGACATACGCAATTGTTCGGTTCAAGATGAAATTAAATAGAAACAAGCAAACCTCAGAAATAGTGATATCATACCCCATGAAGTTCACTTTAAAGAGACAACCTAAGATATCGATCTCAAAGATGAGACAAATTCCGAGCGAGTTGTACTACTTTCACAAGATGAATCCATGACTGCAAATGCTTGGAGAAAGGCCACATGGATGCCACATCCTCGTCCAGGAAGTTGTGCACTTCTCATGGGTTGGCTCATTTAGATCGACATCATTTTTCCTATCTTGTCGCTGAAATTGGGTAGTATTGATCTCGCTGACGGGCCAGTATCCAACGGCTTGCACATAACATATCAAGATGGGTCCCGGCAGCCAATTTGGGGGTGCCCATGCGGCGATTAGAACCCAATTCGTCGAAACGGTAATCCTTGATGTTTCAGACTGGTTAACCCAGGCGGTTATTGGGAAGATCACCCTGGTATAACCCAAACCAGGAGAAAATTCAGGTACTCTTTTTTGGACAACTTTTATAGGGAGCGTGCAATATTTTACAGGTAATCGTTGTTTTAGAGTCATAGCCCCTGATAAGGAGAGTTTGAGGTTTCCCTAGAAAACAAGTTCGAAACAAGCGAAAAATAGGCCGATGGACTGATCAGGTGTCTCACAAAGTTTGCTGTCGATCAGAATTTCTAATGACGCCTTGAGGGCTTTTGTAGGTTCAACTTGACCATTAGGATGACATTACCGCAGTCGAGAGAAACCAATTACGTTGCTTCTCTGCTGTGCGTTTCTGCAACTTTTGGATATTCTCCCAAGGTTTCATTTAAATTGGGGTCCTCCTTTCCGAAAAGGCACAAACCAACCTTTCTGGTTTCTCTTCTTGGGGTGCATTGCCGAATGTGGTTTCTTACTTCATTGAAACACATTCCGCAAAGTCCAAATGTCTGTGCGAAATACAACCAAGTTTCCTTCTGGATTTGTCCTTCAACTAAATACAGAAGGTTGGGAATACACATCGACAGATAAATTCTGTTTTTGTCACTCTGCGAAGAGCAAATTTATTTATTTGTTGATCTTGTGGTAATAAATGGATCCCAGCATCCGCACTTAGTCCAACAATCCTTGCATAATTTATACCACAAGATCCCTTTCCTCCAAGAAAGGCTCCGCCTCCAGTTAGAATAGATTTCTCAAGTCACTGAGGTGAGTGAGCTCCCGGGGATTTGTTTACCGGCTATTTTTGGAAAATGTCAGTTCTACGAGGTCTATAAGTGACACGTGAGCAACAGGTCCTAAGTCTTAAGTCAACTCTTGTGAAATGGTATAAGCCGTGCGACATCAATTTGTGACCCACGGGTCAGTTTGAACAGGAGTAAGACCAACGATGTCGCGGTATAACATGTAAAATGATAGATAGGAGATAAATTACACCGCGTTTCACATAATCTGTGTGAATCAAGGGTACCATAAGAAATCGATAAAACCGACGCAACCTGAGTTACCCTTAGGCCTTTCCAGGCCCACAATACAGACCTAACCGATCGCTCAGTATTGAACATGTTTGCTCTAAGCCTTTTATCGATCAGTGGAATTCGACTCTGTTCGATGTCAATTAAATGTCTGACGATCAATAAGTTAGATTCGATCAGATTTGGGCGTATAGCATATGGAATTTCTTGGGCGCTCGGTCTTTTGCTCGGCTTCCATGCGCCCTGCCCATCACATCTTTGGGTGAATTGATAACTGCAATGATTCACAGATCAAACTCACGTGACTACACTTGTAAGCGGTGGTGACATAGCCTGTCTACATATCTTCTCACGCATGTGTTGCAATAACGGACTGGTGAGGTGGTAAATTCTGTGTCATTTTAATTAGTCTTAAAGCACAAGCACTCATTTGGTACCATAATTTGAGCTTTCCGTCTATCTCTCGAAACAGGAGGTTCTTAGATGTAGCGGTCGGTGTTTTGGCCTCAGTGCCTAAGCGAATATGTCCGGTTTGCAACAATGTCTAACTCTACGGAATAGTGTGTGAATCAACGCATGGTTGTGCTGTATTAGACAGAAGGTCCCAAGTTTCAAATGTCCACCCCAACTACGTTTCTAATGCACAAAGTGAGAAAGTACCGTCCACACTATCGATGATGAAAACGTCCAGAACTGGGAGTTTGTTATCTCTTCCAAACTAACAGGTAAATGGGACCTTATGGCGAATGGTCATTTGGCTAATCTAAACACATGGCGAAAATAGTCGGGATGTTTATCAAAGTAGTTAATTATGACGTCCGAGCGTTTCCGCTTTCGAGCCAGTGCTAACACAGCTGATGGGCTTTTTTGTGGTTTCTGATAGAAGAGCTGATGAACAGTAGCTTGGTTTTTTTTGGGCGAAGGCATGCTAGGAGAGATCAGGTTTTGACTTGGCAGTGAAGTGTGAAGGACACAGTCAACAAAACCACTTGCGTTGTCAGCTGCTTTTTGGATGGGAACTCCGGAGCGGTGGCAGGTGACACTGAAGGACATGGCCTACTCAAGCACCTAATGGTGTTCACAAAACCGATTCACTTCTTTCAGGGCTTAGCCACCATTTCCCGAGCCTTCATTGTACAGCTTTTAAAGCTGCTTTACGATCACTACAATCCATTACCAACCATTACCGTTTGCGTTCACCAGTTCAACATCATCGTGAGCAAAAAATAGGGCGGCTTGATCCGATCCATAATACGGTTTGCAGCTGTGGGCGATGACAATGGTAATGCTGAAGACGAGGAGGATGGCAGTGGTGGTGATGTGATGATGCTGGATGCTAAAGCAGTAAACGGTCGATTATAAGGCCAACATCGACGGTGTGGTCGTCGGTTCGAGCATTCCTATGTCTTGGCTCGGTTAACTTGTGACCGAGCAAGAAAATACCTTTTTTTGATTAGGGACGGCATACCGATAATCGATGGTCCGAGGTGTGATGACTTCACGCATGCGATCCGTAAGGCAAAGGCCAGCATAGTCTGCCTTTGTCGTACGGGGAAACGAAAGTTCAGTTTGAGGATCGTGGTTTTGGCTAGCCATACAGTCGATTGATCCAGTCAGGAATTTCCTGTCTAACATCAGCCATATGTGGAAATATAATACATGTAGACGTCTTTTAAGTTGTACTAGTGAGACTTGTAATGTTTGACTAGATTCTCCCCCTCCCAAAGAACGAGCCCTTTCTCAGTGCAAACGTTTTAACGAATTCCCGACATGTTTGCTCAATGGGGTGTGGGACTGTTCAGGCAAGAAATACTGTGTTTTCTTCCGGTAACCAACAGCCCGCAGCAATCGAGCATCATGTTAAGTCACACTGACGAGTCATGGGAGGTTCATTACAGATGGTTTCCAATAAGACTGAAACATCTGTGCAGTTTTTGGCTTCAATTGTGGGATAAAGTCTCCATGTCGATCGGATAGATATATGGCTGACCGGGCCGGACCAGGAAGAGGCATGGCTTTTTTGGTCCCTTTCGCTCCGGAGCCTTTATCCCCATCGTGAGGATTCTGACCTTACGGATAACTCCGTGACTCTTGTGTACATGCAGCTGCAGTAATCTTCATTTGTCCCATAATAGGCCCTATTAAGTCACCATGCGGTTTGTTATATCATAGTGAGCTGAACAACAATCGAAGGACCAGCCTAAGAGTTGAGAAACACGTCTACGTAAACCAACCGCTAAACAATCCAATCATCATCATCATCATCATCATCATCATCAAAGACAGCAGTCAGTCAGTGTTGGCACTGATGTTTCACTGCCGTACGAGAAACACAGCAGTTTTATCCTGAATTAAAGTTTCTAAAACTTGACAAAAAGGACTGCCTCCAGAATGAGGCAATCGTCTATTTGGTGAGTGAATTCCGTTCGGTGTGCTGGAAATTCACCGAGGAGTTTGCGCAGCGTGCGCAACCCACTCCCCTATGTTTGATTTGCGTTTAGGAGAAAGAAATCATCACTGTTGTATCCTGTAAAATTTAGTGGTGATCAACATTTCCAACACTATTCGATAACCATTTGTCCCTTTCACCCTTCTTGGGGGGTTATCTGTTGACAGTGGTCCCCAACGTTTTGTCAATCCTCTCTCCTACTTGAACACTAAATTTACGTAGTTGGGTTCTACTATCACTTCCAAATTAGTTTCATCCGAATGTCAAGCGAATTTGTCGTTCATGCGTTGCACAAAGATAACCTAATGTTTCCGTGGGAACGGTATTTTAGATATCGAAATACTTTTTATTTATACACCTACACTGATAAGGCTGAGAGTCACTAAGAACGATAGGTTCAACTGAGTTTCTCGTTAGCACCAAGTTGAGTGATGAATAAACAACTTTTCTGTATGCGATGGCCATGGCGTTCTCCGGTCCATTTTCGAATTATACTGGCCTGCTCTATCGTAATATTACCGTGACTCTGGTGATGTGCCAGTGTTGTCGATGGATCGTATACTCTTTACATTTTCATCTTTGATATGTCTAAGATGAACGAATGTTGCAGATGTGCAATGCCATTCGGTTTTTAGCGCCTACAGACTCCACCTGTTTGAAGAAACCACCGTTGAAATGCCAAGATTACCCCCATTTAAGCCGTCTAGTTTGAATGGGAACACTCCCACAAGTCGCTTGGCCTATCATCTGGGAGGTTATCATTCCAGAACCAATCACGTGCCACCAGCTAAATGGGGATTGCTCTAGTGACAGACCAGTCGTGGCTGAACGCTCAGGCACCAACTGGAAGGTTGCCGATCCCAGTCGTCCTGTCGACTCGTCCGTGGTCCCCATCTGGGATGGAATATGTACAGGGTTTTTCGACCTCTCGTGACATGGTTAACACAAACGGTTGTTGCATGAGGCTGAGGTCAGGTTTTTTTTTGAACCATTGACTCAGAGACAGTCCTTTTTGTCCCTCGTTCTAAAATCGTGCTCTCCTGTGCGTCTAGCTTCCCCTTCTAAGAGTGGTTCGATTTCGTCTACCGCGGTTTCCACGTTGTGACATTGTATTTCTTAGGGTAAGCTGCTATTCGTCTGAGTGAGATATTGGGCCAACTAATTTCCCTGATCCAATCAGTTTAGAAGGCGTTCGTAGTAGCCTTGGTGGACTGATCAGTATCAGGCTGTGTTCATCGCTTAGCAGTCCAAACACAACATCTACGGTACGTGCAATTCTCACAAAAGCTTCGGTGTGAGAAGTCCGAGTCAATTACGGAGTACCGAGAAAAAACTGCGCGCACATTTTCGGTTTTGCGAGATAAGTTTCCAGCCTATGTGACAATTCCATCACCAAGTCAAACAGGAAATTCACAGAGGTTTGTGACTAGAGGTTCCACGAGCATCCTTAAGAACTGTGTATGAACCAAACTCCAGTAAAAGCCGCTTTTCAAGCAATGTCTCCCCCTTCTCTATCATTGATTTGCCCACCAGCTGCCCCGAATTGATGCCCATCCTCACCAGCGACAACACATTCGTCTTGTTCCCATATCGCGGCGCGATCCCCGCCGATCAGTGTTGCCCCCAGGCGGACGATGTGCCAGGTTCTCGTTGGTTGGTGGTGCTGGACGGAACATGGACACAGGCGCGACATATGCTTACCGGTTCACCCCTTTTGTTCGCACTCAAGCGGGTGAGTGTAACCTTTGCTACACTAAATACGCTTCATACGATCTGGAACTGCTTTTTTTGCGCAGTATTTACAAAGTGCTGTTGGCGGTGTTTATTTATAGATGAATTTGATTAATCGTATTCCAAAGCCGTGGACAGATCGCATCAACCTGTATTGTGGTACATTTAAACTCTTTTTCCCGAGCTGTCACTTACCTAGAAATGACTAGTTTCCTACAGAAAACGCCTTGAAAAGGAAGTCCTCGTAAAAGCGGATCGTCCATCATTTCACTTATGAGTTTTGTTTTACAGAAAACATTATGCAGGCGGGAAGATTCTACAAAAGAAGTGACTTAGACAACCTGAATTGTCTAGACCCGACCGTTCTGCTCCCAGAGCAACCTAATTCTTTCGGGCTCACTTGGCAAATAAGTATGGCAAACCTTTGGGCGATCTAAACTTCCATTTTATCCAACGATTGACTCTGTCAGCTGACTTTTGATTCCGTAGCTGGAGAGATACTTGGACATTTTGTTTACTCTATAGGGATGTATCCAGACCTTTAGTTTGTGCTCACCTGTACACACCGCACCACGCGGTTTCAGTTAACATCACAGCTCCAATCGTTGCCGCTATGAGTTCGGAAAGTTCGCGCTCGTTTTTTTTTCGACCTCCTGGGAGTTGAATGCCCCGAAAAATTCGTATACGGACCCTAATTTTGCGATCGGATGCAAATAATTCCAACCATCCTAAAATAACGCTGCCTAAATTTCTGCACGCCCTCATAACAGGATACCGTAAAAGGCTTCTTCCCGATTGGGTGGAACCAAACCAGGTGTATCGTTCGACCACGGGAAGAATAGTGTCTATCCGACATCTCTTGATCTTTCCTTCTCGCTTGGAGGAGCCCACGCGGAGTTGATGGGGCGCAACTGAAATATGTATCACCTAGTTGTTCACCTTACCAATATGTGTTCTTCCGAATAATGCAGGTGAACGGTGATCACGAGTCATAAGTCGGGAGCAACAACATCCTGGGTCCTTAAAGTCAGCAAATTCCACTCCCATTCTGAGTAATTCGACAACTCTACGAGCTAGAGGGCTATCCTTAGGTGGCGTTGCCCCACTTTCGGTATAAAACGGGGACTGGGTAAATCCGGTACTTGTTACAAAGCAACTAACGCGAATCTGCGATTACTTTGAACACGGTTTGAACTGTGTGAGAGCATGATGTGAGTGTTCAACACTGAGGCTTCGCTGTCGTACAACCATGATTTATTTGAAAGCCGTATTGCGAAGGAAAGAATAAAAGTGGATGAGGGAGACAGTTAGTGCTAACTTACCACAATCATTCCAAAGTGCCTACACCTCCAGACACTCATTCAGGCAAGCTGGACAGAAATTGGCAACAGGAACCCCATTGACATCCATTGGTAGCCCTATCGTACAGCGTCTCCAACCAGGCACAGTGGGGATCTCGCGGCCTCCGTCCAGGAAGCCCAGTAGAATTGAAAATACCCAGACTTTTCGAAATATCGCTAAGAGCTCTTTACCAAGTCAGTGATTGGCCACCTCTAGGCTTCAGCAACTCCGAACTAGGCACGAAAAATGACATATTCTTTGGCACACGATGGTTTATACATGGTCTAATCAACGCAGCTTCTGGTGCTGGACACATTATTGAATGCAATTCTCTGTTGCACATCCGAAAACTCGCTTTCTAATAGTCCCGGTACAGATTCGCCGAGATGGCTCGGTTGTTAAAGCGCGAATTCACTGACCGGAAGGTCCGTGGGTCGAACCTGACCACTGTCTCTTGACTTCTCTTGTCTAGGCTTTGGCAATCTGGCAGTATCCCAACCCTGGTGCTTCCTTCTGGTGGCGTGGCAGCTGCGCACCGAAAGGGTGCTACAGGTGGACGATTATTATTCGCCGACACCAATCCACAGCAGTTGTCCAGCACCGGGAGGCGTCTCAGTTCCGCAGATTGAACAGGTCAAGTCTCACAGTCATACAACAAAACAGCCCGCACTGTACCCTCGTACACACATCCCTTGAGATTGAGGGATATGCCGGTTGGACGCCGTAGGTGTCTCAAGGTATCAAGCGCGACCTGAGACTTACAGACTCGTGCATTGACCTCTTCTGTCACACTACAGTCGGAAATCACACTAGTTTCCAAGATACTAAAAACGCCGCACAAGTTCCAGCAGCGGAATCCCGCACCGAAACCGCCTTACCCATCGCTGTTGAGTGCTGCTACGGCCAATAAGCATGTATCGCACGTGATTGGCGGGAGAGAATACATTTGTCAAGCAATTCGAATGCGCCCAGGAAATCCAGAAATACTAGAACTGAGTCGTTTATTCGTATGGTGTTGTTCTAGCACCTGACAGAATGTGAAGATTTCGATAACGCTGTTACCCAAGTTCGGTTTTTTGCTACATTTTCTTTTACTCCAACCAGGTGGGTACGAACCGCAAATAACCTGAACCAGCATTTCCACTACGAATGGATACGACCGACATAAATGAGTTAGCACGTCCACAAACGAGAAGGACCGGTTTACCAAATGCCGGTTGAATATGTGCATGCCACTGGGAGATTGTGTGTCACCTCAGACAGGAGCAGTCATCGGTAGTGTTGTTTCTGTGGGATGAATGCCACAGGAAGACGAAAAATCACTCGCATGCGCTCATCTGAAGGTGACTCAGTCAACTTCCACGCATAGTACGGATGATGTCGAGTAGTAAGTAAGATTGATGACTATTCGGAGAACGGGCCTAGCCCCAAAAGGTGTGAAATCGGTATCGGGCTGTCCAGGGTACACGTCAACATTACAGCAAAGTTGACAACGAATTCAACATTCGATATTCTTTTCTGTTGACGGCATGTGGAGAGGCGCATTTCAGTGCGACCGACACAGCAACGGTAGAAAATGTCCTTCCTTTACGTAGCTCACCCCCGTTTGAGTAGCGTCTGTTTTTTAAACCACAGTCGGCAACTGAAGGTGCCAGTATAACGGATCCAATATGATGCATTCCAAGCTTACTACCCGAACGACTGTGTGAATTGGATGGGAAAGTTAATTATGATTCCGAGCCTTCAGACAAAATCACCACGTTGGTGGGATAGGAACTGAGTACCGTTGTCAAATACACTATTTTTTGGAGAGAAGGAATGTCAAAAGCATGTCTTTTCTGTCTCAAAGACAACAGGCCTTTTACTGAAGACAACAACAACAACGTTTGCTATTGAGGAGATTGGTGGCAGCTCAGGTAGCGTAGGTGATGGTTGTTTTGTTCGGCGAGCTGCGCAATTTGATTTCAAAGCCTTTACCAATCGAATTAATTTCAGTAGGATTTTAGGAAGCGTGGTAGAGCGTAGCGATGGGTCGTTGGTTGTGCGTTGAATAGTGTTACGCACGTGTTAATATACGTGTTGCTAGCCGGGGCTGACCTGCGATCACGATTAGCTGTTTGGGGGTCCAGCGGTTTGATTGTTTGTTCTTTCGTGCTGTGCCCTGATTGGTTGATGACCACATGACTTCTGAGCTTGGTCTCCCCTGGTCTCGTGCTCGGGTCTGTCATGGAGTGGCATCTCTCCTTGACTTTTCTAGGATCCATTTCGTGACTTCTCTGATCTGACTCCAAGGGATTTCTTCTTTCTTGTTTTTTAAGCCGATATGTTGTTCTTTGAATATTCCGGTTGATATATTGATCCTTCGCACGTAGTAGTGCGTAAATTGTATCTAGTTCGGTGTGTGTGTTGATCAAATCCGTCGTCGGGCACCATGCTTACAGAAATCCTCTTGTGTCTTGTCTCCACATACCAAGATTTAAAGCTTTTTCAGGTCTTCATGTATGGATATTAAGTGTAGAGTGTGATAACTCCTAAGGACTGCGGTATGATTTCCTCCCAGTCTGTCCAACGTAGCACTTGTTGCAGTTGATTTGGTATATCGCATTGTTGCTCTTGCTTTTGTCTTGATTTTCTTTCGGTCTGTGGGCTACAAGAATCCTTTTTTGAGCCAACTGTCTGGCTGTAAGTTCAGATATGTTCTTTCTGTAAGGTAGAATTATCCGCCTGGTCGCTTGTCCTTACTGTTGCTGTTGTTGAGATATCATTTCCCCCAAACTCCTGTTGATGAAATTCCATTGTTCTGGAATACTCCGAATTGGTGATATCCTTGCTTCCTTCCTAGTTCTCTGGTGCCGCAGTATCCCCACCCTTTTGAACACGTTTTTTCCAGTGGATGATTGTTGTTCTAGCTCAGTATTTGATTCGTGCGTGTCTCTTTATATCAGGAAGGTCAGATTCCTGAAAGTAACCTCAGAACGCCCGAACCTACTGCCCCACCAAAAACTCAACAGGAAACCCGACAAGCATCGAGGCCAGTCAATCATTCAATCAATTCAGCAAAAGCTGATCAGTGTTCCTGCACGCCACAGAAGCACGACCGAATATGATCTGCGTTCAGGCTTTTCATAGAGGCACGATCGATGTTGATGGATGTTCACTAACGCAGATCAGACAGCCTGGATCAATGTCAGAAAGTCCCCTTTAAATAGCGTGGATCCGTTGTAACTGTTGCTCTCGCACTCGCACTCGCTTGTTCGGAATACAGCTGTTGTGTTCCCTTCTGTGAGTCTTTTCTCTCCGACACTAGGCACTGGAGCGGATTAGCAGCAGATACCACAGGTCGGTGATTCAGCAGATATAACGCTTTACGACATACGCAGGTCTCCAGAGTCCTATCCACTTTTCTATTCACTAAAGCGTCCAAGAATGGTAGTCGGTTGTTCCTCTCCAGTTCTATTGTAAACTTGATGTCTGCAAACGTGATGTTGAGCAGTTTATGCGCGTGTAATCAGTGGGTATAACCGCATTTATTTCCATTCCATTCCAGGTTTGCTTGCCGCCAAATCCCACCACAGGTGACGTTATACCCAGCGAGTTCATTGTGCGGCGTCAACCATTTTCCCACGCAGTATGCACCGTAGAGGCTGTGGCGCGAATACTGGATCTCTGGGAGCCACGTGATCCGGCCAGGTCGAACAAATTTTACCAGACGCAGTTGTTGCGACCCCTCTATCGTATATGTGAAGTTCAAACCGCTTGGAAAACGGACGAAAAGAAGGGGGAAAGCGATGTATTTTGTAACGGTGACTCGGCAGTGTGAAACGCTGTTTTTTCATTATATGCCGTCTTTCACAAAGCGTGTTGTCGTTCACCTTACTCCCGGATGGTACGTGGACTAGAATATGATCTTCCTGTGCCGAAATTACTCCCATAAAAACAGCTCTTCAGTTATTGCAATTTAGCTATGAGTGACGCGTTCTACCTATCGCTACTCAACTGGGTAATCCCCAATAACTTTTACCCAGATGTAAGACGGATATTCATAGCCTTACTCCGTATTGTTTGTCCCATTCGTTTGATGGTTTATGCCGACAAGTTTATTGGTTATCCTGTCTTTCCAAGCTGTATTCTTTCCGGTAAAATTCAGCTGATTGCCGAAATTTCGATCATATGGGTTAGCTTATTCTCGACGTTCTGTGACGTTCTGTTAAGTTTTCTTCCGGCTACAAGAATGAAGTGAACTGATATTCCTACCGATAAGAAGGTTAGACAGCAGACTCGCCGTCAGAGCTCAGATAACCTGCCAATCGACAATCCAGTGCCTCCAATTCCGTTGTGATCCCGCACACAAAGGTCAGGTAGGACTGGTTTGGGTCAAACACCGAAAGTAGGCCGAGATGGAAAGGAAGTATATAGCCTTCATTTGAAGACCATGGCCTCTTTAGGGTCGATCACACAACGTTCGGAGGAAACTCTAATTTTTCATGGAAAGCCTTCATGATTTGATGTTACTTCGGGAATATTTCGCCACAAACAGGATTCGATTTAACTTTTTTGCCATCCAATCTTTACATGGTACGTCAGACCATAAGAATCCAGTCCTGTTTTCCTCCTAGAGGTCCAACGCTAACGAGGTTTGAGCTTACGGCACCGCGAGGAACACTGCGGGAAGAGCCGGAACGTCGTGGTGCGCAGCGCATCTTCCACAAAGGTTTTCATTTAAATACACCAATATGATCAAAATGAACCAATGTTTTATCGCAATTGACCAATCTCACGTGGCGGGTTACAAAAAATATGCTGTATCCAAGCAATAGCGGTCCTGGTACACAGCCTGGGCAAAATGGCACGCTTAGTAGTAGATGGAGAATACAGAGCTTTCTTACTGAGGAGATTCGCTTTTCGATATAGTTGTACATTCGAAACTCGCACGCGGTTTGCCGCACTTCCTAGTGAACCAACACCTGCTTTTCACCGCCGCAGTAAACTAGACTCTTGTGCGAATTCCACGCTGAACCGAATCTTTAAATCATCCAAAAACCCATATGTTTAGGAGTAAACTGTTGAAAAAAGATAGGGCGATGCGATACACTTTCAAACAGGTAGTCTAGGAGCATTAATGACTGGTATCCTAATAAGCTTTGCCGGCCAACGCCTGCGGATGGCTGGAGAACCGCATATGATTGATGCCGGGTGCCGCATGCAGACTCGGGGGAAAACGATCTACGGGAGAATATGCAGAGTCACATTGAAATCCATCGGCCGGCCTAAGCATAATAGTTTGAGAATAGTCATCGGAACCAGTTACTTGGTTGTCATCGAGGCAACGGCAGTCCCTTCAAGTTTCAGTGAAATGCCGCACCTCACCGAGTAGAGCTTTATGCAAGTTTTGCCGATAGTCAGTGTCCAAATGGTATTCAGCAATATTACATTAAACATTTGTTTAACAATTTCGGGTCACAAACGTACCTCGATTTTTTTTTGTTTACGTGTATTATGCGGTCTGGTGGTTACGCTGGCGATTCACAAGGCTAATTCTACTAAGCCAAGTGTGCCCGCATGTTACGCAGTTTTCTACGTGGTCGAGGCTGCACTGGAAAGACCAGACCCCTTATGAATGGCTCGCCTGTTCTGCAGCACTGTGATGTGTCACACCTCAAATCTTCTCACGCTTGCTTGAAACGTCGTTTTACAGGCCGCTCTGTCGTGTGCCAGGTCTACCCATGATCTAAAATGGCAGACTTACCCAGGAGCTGAATTCCCAGTGTCTCCAATTTCGCACTGCGCAGCTGACCGTAGGCAATTTCTTCCGGAATGCGAATCTCGGTCGTTCGCTTCAACTAGCTTCCACTTCAGCGTTTGCTTTTCGACGGCCTTGGTGCGCTGGATTCGGCCGCCTCGTTTGATCCGGAGCATTTTGTGCAGACACTACAAGCCTAGTGTCCAAATATCACTGCGTAACTTCATACACAGCAATCCTAGGATGATTGCTCCAGGTGCGTGTATCAGGATAGCCAAGTGTCGTTCTGGTCTTTTCGTTTCGCGTCAGGTGTTTGGGTGGTGTGTTACCAAGTTGTTGGAAACCCCGAAACCTTGTTAACTGGACAGTGATGTTTTACGCCGAGTTCCTGCTGCAGGCTGACGGAAGACAGGTGTTCTATCCGTAAAATCAAAGACCGTAGTCTACTGTCGTTATTTTGCTTCAGAATTTGGAAAAAATAATGGACTATATGACTGTGAACACGTACCACATTAACAAAATGTTTCCTCGGGTGTTATAAGGGTCTATAGCTGACAACGAGCTAGCTGATGGTCACGTCATCATTCTCATAGCGTTCACCCAAAAGAAATCTATCAAGTGCATGACCAATGTTGTCGTTTCGTTTGCTCACTCGGGCATTGTAGGTACCCGTTATTATCATGATATTTAGCTAACCAGCAGAGTTGTCAGAAGAATTCATCTCTTACTGTTTGGTATGATGCATACGTTGGCGTACGCACGGTGTTTGCTGTCGGGTTCACAGGACACCTCTTGATGAAGCTGCGACGATTGTTGAAGATACTAGTGCCCAGACAATGAATGCATCACCGGTGAGGCCACTCAGCAAAAACTCACTGCCTGAGTTGTCTACTGGTCCATTGTGGTAGAACCAACAAAAATACTTGTTCATCTCGAATCAGAGTTGAGTATTCGAGTTCTGGGAGTCATGTTACGTCTGATCGATATCATACAGCCCCGCGCATGCCGATACTCTGAAGAGTCTGTAAAGGTTGCTGTATGTATTGAGGAATCCGGCCTACATCTTGGTCACTAATACCACCGGGCCACAACGAAACTTCAGTCTGCTGGAACACTGTGGTGTGAGCGACTGCAACTGACACTGTTACTAGTTTCAAAAGGATCTGTTACTTACTTTGCCTACAGCACCACAAAGCTTCTGCTCGGTTATGCACCTCTAACCTTTGCAGACCCAAGTGAGATCCACAGGATTGCAGAAAACGTTTGATAATGCTGCAATCATGGCCGTCGGTTTCTGATCAGCCCAGTGGAGCTGATTCCTGTTCTCGTGATTGTTGATTTGGAACCAGAATACAACTGGGAAGTCGGACAGGCGGTGGTGCCCAATTCTTGCTATGGACCCTCCAGTTTGGTGATAACAGTGCCATGGAAAGACAGTAAATCTAGCATCATCAATAGAGACTACGCGGTTGCGGGTCTCTTGGGAACGTTTCACAGGGTATAGTGGACGGCTTTACGCGTTTACCCGCCAGACCCACTCTTGACCATGCTGTCTTACCATGATAGCTTAGAAGACATATTTCGAAAATTTGGATGATTTCCCACTCTCTACTCCCTTTTTTCTCAGTTCACATCTTTTCTATCCTTGTCACTGAACTAGCTGGGCCATCAAGGGTTTCGTGTGTTCTGTAATGTTGACTTTATCATCAACAGATTCTGTATTACAAAGCTGTCCTCTTCTACAAAGGCACCCCTTGCTTCCCTTGGAAAAACCATGACAGGTGCTCGACATGTTGATGTTTCCCAAGCAGTACTACGAGTCTTCTGACCTCTTACATCTTTGCTAGCAAAACCTGAGATGACGAGTCTAAGTGATCAGAGTATGAACGAATAGACGCCCCTGGGTCTGGAACAGAACCGTTGACTTCCCGCCTACCCGACGGGTGCACGGTCAGTGAGAAAACTTACTGGCCATCACGCTTATGCACTTGAAATTCTAACAACTTACAAAACTATCTTGCCAAGCGTCATTTGAAGGGCACTGGCATAGTCTTGCACACAATAGCCCCTGTTTGCAAACAAAAATCCCTTATCCCGTGTCTGGCTCTTGTCCTTGACGGATGAACCGCTGAGCCAGTTTGGCTGAAACTGGTTAAGCATGAATGTGACTCAAGCCACTTCCAATACTGGTACCTACTCGCATGTACCTGTATACTTCAAATCTCTCGAAACGTTTGTATTAAAATTCGTCGATCATAGCCGAGATTTAATCAGGTCCGAATAAGACTCTAAGAAAATAACGGTTGCGGGATGTTGACATTTGCTTCTAACTCTTCAGCCTCAGTGCTAAGAACCATTAGTCTTGCATTATTAGAAAGGGTAACTAGCATTAAAAATGTGGGACTGAACCAATCGTATCGTGGGTCCTACTCAGGTCCTACTCTTAACTCTAGGCCATTCCGATAGCTTGTTTCAAGGTGTTTTGTGCCCACAAGCTGGGTCGGTACTAATTGCTCAACAGAATATTGCAAAGTTGGTTTGCCAAACTAGCTTGTATGCACAAAAGACCTTGACACAAGCCAGGTACTTGCCATGGAATTAAGTACTGGGCCTGACTGGCTTCTACCAAATCAGAACAGTGTGCGAAGTGAACGTTAACTATGATGCTTTAAGGACTGTTTGTGCCCGCCCGTGGCAACCGTCTAGTTATCCAATACGGTCATTAAACCTTGCCATAAGAGCAATTCGCCTCTGTACGTATCTGTTTAGCGCGACAGCGTGAGGATTAGGATATCCATGCCTTACTCACTGTGCCTTTGGAATGGGCCAGCACCCAGCAGCGGAAGGTCCTGACTACTAAATCATCGGCTTCTGATAGGGTTCTACAAGAAAACCCTATTGTCCTTGCCTGTCATATTTGTGAGTTAAAGGCTAGAGGCAGGATCCCAAAACAAAACCCTCCTTTCCGCTGTCCTGTGCGTCATACTTCCAGGAGTCTAAGGCCAAAATAACACGTTGATACATGCAAGAGATCAAACTTGCCAAGGAGCTTTCAGTATCCGCACTGTACGCCCCAGAGCTTATACTCTTTTAA